CTCAATTCACACAGACGGATCATGATTCGAAATCTAAACTACGATAGGAAGGATTCTATACTGGTACGGGAGTTACGGATTAGACCCTCACCTTTGCCACGGGTTCTGAAGAAAACCTGAGAAAACACTGAATGACCCTGATGGCTCTAAAAACAGCAATTCCGGAACTCTCTGAAAATAGATGAATGTGAAGATTCTGACAGACCTGAACTCTAGATAAATCAGATGAATAACTCAAGAACTGACCGTTAGCTTTTCGATCCCTCCGGTCATAATATAGTCCTAGTCGTCCTCTGCCTGTAGCCACCAAATTTACACCGATCAGACACCGTTTGATTACTCAAAATAGCCTCGCCTCCAAGTTGGTCGCAAACGCAGACTGCACCAACACCTTTTACGAAAATAAGCATAACTCTCAGCAAATAATTCGAAATGATGATCCGCTTTCTGGGGATGATAGATAAAAGAACTAGCTACTTACTGATAAATTTCCAGACTGAAATCTTTCATTTAGGTTGACCGTTTAGCCTTTACGCTGAGACTGCTCGTAACTGCCTCTGCAACACAACAGTTTAATTATCGCCACGAAGAAACGTCAATAACTTTCTAACTGTACCTTTGTTTCACAATCGGAAAGATGATCTAAAAAGCTGACATCGAGAGCTTTCCAATGATATCTCGCTCGTTTCCTGGTTCATTCTGGATCAACGGGAAACTACTGATGAAGATGACTGCTGGTAGATCCGATCTGCAGAAATCAGTCCCGAAGAAATAATCATAACTCTTAGATAAAAATTCCAAATGACGATCCGTTTTCTGATATACGTAGATCTAAGAAGGTAGAAGGTAACCTCAAATTTGGGCTTCGAAATTCTTGTTTTTGATTAGTCGTTACTCTGTTCTCTCAAAACGTGTCTGCTGAACCTTAATCTCTCTTTAAATAGGAAGAGTTTAGGGTTTCTTCCACACTACTGGGCCTAGCCGGGCCGAAATAATTGTACTGGGTTTTGGGTCGTTACAAGTTTCCCCATTCATCGTTTTTCTTTTATTTCAAACTGTTTTGGCTTGTTTGTTTGTTTGCCGTACGTCTGTGTGTTTCTTATTCTTTCGTGTATAGGAGGAATCAGGGAGGCTGCTGTGTTATGGAAGTTGACGTTGAAGGCTTATCTGGATATGGGTTTTAAAGAAGATGCTGGCGACCTTATCTTCTCAATTTCATACAAGGTAGGTATGTGTTCATTGTGTGGCACTGGAATTAGGATTTCATTCGATGCTCATCGTGGCCAATATAGTCTAAGGTTGTGTGATTTAGATAATAAGATATCTCTTTTAGGATTGGTTAGGATGTGCGTTATAGTTTATCAATGATTGTATGGCACTGGAATTAGGAATTCATTCGATGTCATCATGGCCAATATAGTCTAATGATGTGTTGTGATGTGTAATTTAGATAATAAGATTTCTGTTTTAGGATTGGTTAGAAAAAGAAAGACATATATATATCCTGAGGAACCTGATACTAGATATTAGAGGAAATGGAAAAAGGGCAGCCCGGTATGATTCATCTGTGATTTGGTTTTTACTTTGCTGATGTTAAAATGTATTGATGCAAAAGCAGATTGTTGTCACTGTTAAGTTTTGAAAATTATCTTAGATAGGATCTCCCTCTCTTAAGTTCCTACTTGATTACTTCAGATCTTTTAAAAGTTTGTTTGTACTTTTCTAGGGAAAAGTAGTCTGGAATGTGCTGTTAGCCGAGCTTTGTACAACCTTGGAAAGCTTTCATATATATCTGAGAACAAGGAAGCATGATTAGAGTGAGAAAGAAGTCTGGTATAAAGGCTAAGTGTAATCGTTTTGTAAGTGAACAAGGAAGCATGATTGATTAGAGTAAGAAGTTTACTGGTATAAAGGGTAAGTGTAATCGTTTGTAAGATATATAAGGAAGAATGAATGAAAAAGATGTTTGTGTGATTCTGACTTGGCTTGTTTCTCTTTATCTCTAACTCTGTTTTTTCTCTCTAATAAAGGCTAACTGTAATCTTTGTAAAATGCAAGGTAGAATGAATGAAGAAAAAAATGTTAGTTAAAGTACTCTTGCTTGTGCAAAAACAAGAGAAAAAAACAGAGTTAAAGAAAGAGATAGATAAACAAACCAAAGTCAGAATCATCATCACAACTTATTCCTTGATGGTGACAATTAATGTTCGACATGTTTAAAGCATGTCCTAAAAGAGGTAATATGTATTATTGAAGGATCTGATGAATATGGTTATATAATGTTGCATAATTATTACAAAACACAAAAGTCCATTTGGTTTAACTAAAATTTGTTCATCTCCATCTCAATTGCTGTTACTCGTTTAGCTGAATCTTCAAAAGCCTCTCTACAGGCTGTCTGCACACTGGACACAACAAATTCCTCTGAAACCTTACCTCCTTAGCGCATCCATCACACATACACTGTTACACACACATAACCCAATTAAAAAAAAAGAAAAACAGAACTTCATTTTGTTGTTGTTGCTAGTATAATATAAAACATCATACCATGTGTCTGCAAGGAAGAAGAGTCGTATCACGTGGCTCAGACAAGCATATAACACAGTCCCTTGCATCCTCATTACAACCACCAACAACAGTGTCCCCAATCCCATAAATATCCAGCAACTCAAACCTGGTCCCATCCACCCATAAAAGCTGCTTGATCACACTTGGCTTAATCTCACCTTTCTCATTCACATACGTCACTAGAGTAATCTGCTTGGATCCAGAGTCAACAGCCTCCTCCATCTTAATCGCCAACGGAAAAATATATGTATTCGGCTCCTTGAAGAGCTCGGAATCTTCAAAGACAGATAAGTCCACACCAGTTCCAGATGGTTGTATGAACTTCTGACCAAGTCCTTTCTCAAATTCAAATGTGATTATTGGCGCCAAAGTATCTTCCTTTGTCGCTGTGAGTTGGAACTCTGCTTCTTCTTTGGCAAAGAAAACGATTGTGATCCTGTGAACAGACAAAACATTCAATAAAGACTCAAACTTTAATTACTACAAGAACGCAAGTGGGGAAAAAGTTTAAAAAACCTTCCGGAGACAGCTGCGTCAAATGTGAACGCGACGAGAAGACGTCCCGGGTTAACCCGGTCCGGTTCGAGGCTCAAAGTCTCCTTCCTCAGATTAGTGTCGTTGCGAATCGTGTCGGCTTTCTTGTGCTCTACGGAAGTGTAAGGATGAGGTTGGTGATCGTACGGCTCCGACATAGCTCCTGTCGGAGAAGAACAGTCGCCCGCAGTGTAAAGGTTGGAATCAAGGCAGAGGCTTTGATACGACGCCGCTGCGACTTCGGGTGGTTGAAGAGGAGTTGCTTCCGTCGCAAGAACATTGCTCCTCCGTCTTCTTCTTCCACAAACTCCGAGGCAGCAGAAGAAGATATTCCCCATGATCGAGTTTGATCAAAAAGTGTTGTCGTGTCTTTCTTTCTGGGATGGAATCGAAGTTAAGTCTTATACTAGTATTATGTGTGTGTGTGTTTGGTGAGAAAAACCAAGTTTAAGGTTGACTTTAGCGTCATTATGTATTAGTCAATGTTTGCTTTTGCTTTTTCTTTTCTTTTGAATATTCTGATTTATAACTCTTGATTTATAGGAAGTATCCCACCACTAATATAGCAAAATGTTTCATTAATAAATTTTGGTAAAATAAGATCTTAAAATCATAGATTAGGTTTATATAAAAGAAAAGGAGTTTGAATTAAGATACAATGCATGCAGAGTGTTAAAAATATATACAAAAGTCACCTGGGCGAAATATGTAAAGTACACTTAAATCTCTATAGATTAACAATGTTGGGATTTTGAAATTTTATTAATTTATAGAGATATTAATTTACCAAAGTTTCCTTATTTAGAATTTTGATTTTAAAATATATTTATTATACAATAAGAAAAATATTTTATTTTAGTGTATAGATATTTATTATCATTTTTGAAATTTGACATTTATATTATTTTTTTTATATTATTTGGTGTATATAATATATATTTCATAGAATTTAAATATAGTTTTAGATATAATATTACTAAATCTCATCAACAATATATTAAGTGTCAAGAAAATATAATGATAATTCTATTGTAAATATAAAGCAAACAATATAATAATTTTATCGGATGTCTCCGAAACAATATAATATAAAAAATAATATAATAATAGATTTTTACTTATATAAAATATGTATAATATAAATTATTAATTTTTAATTTTAATGGGACCATATATTTACATAGAAATTTCTAAAAAATATTATCTTATTATTTTATCTATTTGTGTCAAATTTTGAACTGAGTCAAATTGGGACCGGCAAAATTTATTAATTTAGAGAGATTATTAATTTATCGAGTATTAATTTATGTAGACTCTACTGTACAACGCGGTCTTCTTTGTGGCATGTGTTGTTTATGTTTCATATCGAGATTAACGCGCTTCTGATTATAATAAGAGGAGTGACGCGTAAGATGGCCTTATTTGTGGAATTGAAATTGAATATTTATCTGTTCGTTTATAGAGAATGTTAATACTTTAGTCATCATATATCTCCAACTGAATATACTGTACGTGTGATATTTGAAGTGCTCATCTAACTATAAGACATGAGGGTTCTAGAAAATCTCACAAAGAACAATTACCATGAGGTATTTTACCAGAAAAATTAAGAACCATTAGTTATAATAAGATTTATGATATGATTATAACTATACGAAAATATCATCTTTTACATTTATATATAGAAAATTACAGCAAAGGCCTTATCTATAATTGAAAAAAAAAATGTCTATCTATAATCAAGACGAAAGATCAAATGATCATTATACGTCGTCCTTATCATGTTCATGATCGTCTTCTTCGGTCTCTCGTTCTTCTATAATCGTCTCGAGAATCGGACAAGTTGATGGCTTCTCCGGAAAAATTATCTGCGGAGGAGCTGCTTCCATCCACCATGCTACATCCATTTTCACCACTGTCATATTTCGATCGCACCGAATATCAAAGAAACACATTTTTTTGAGAGATAGATTTGAAGCTGCAGAATTAATTCAAAATTCTACGTTTTAGGTTGAACAAGTGTTATGGTTCAAGGACATATATAGAGAATAAGAGAATGATTGGTTTATTTGAAAGCTGGACAAATGGACGATCCATAGTGAAAGATGTTGGTTGTTGGCGACTTGGTCTTGTTTGCTATAAATTACAAACGATGAAACCAACACGAATATTCTGGAACCTCTAGTCTTTTTGTCTTGCATGAGTTTTTGGTACTGCATGAGAGACACGCGTGAATCTTTACGTTCCCACACTTCTCTTTCAAATGTTAAGATATTTATTTCTGCGTCGTATGTCGCTTCTGTACAGTTACATCACCCAAGCTTATGCGTCGTATGTCGTTTTTCTACACTATTTCGACTCCATAACGCATGATTGAACGTTTTATTGTAGAAAATTATTTAGGTCCACGTTAGAATATCATGAGCTCGTTCATACTTTTATTTATTAAGGATTAACAATATGATAAACCCGTGAGAGAAATATGCTATTGCTAGGTATAAGAATTACACGAGGCCCAGAGTCCCGAGTCCATAGATGCATCACTCCAGGTAAAGTGGTTAATTCACGCTGATTTAAAAGTTCCTCAAATAATGTGAACGATTGTTCCATTCATTTTATACCTTCCTACTCTTTTTAGAGTAGAGTTTCGTCTTATGTTGTTTCTTTTACATTTTCTCAAAGCAATAACAAATAGGGCGAATACTGAGACTTATTTCATATGCATATAACAATTTGATAAAAATATAATTATCGTAATTAAGACGAATACTCTGAAAATAGAAATAAGTTATACAATTTTGGTGATGATGTTGACCATGTTCTTGGGCTTAGATCGATCGGTTAAAAACATGCCACTTGGATTTAATCAAATGTTATGTAACTAAAGATACACTAGCAATGTATATAAATATATAATGTAGGATGCCTATTTTTATTTAGATTAATTGGACAATTAGTCAATGACCTGAAAAGATTGGATAAGATAAGGATAGGTGAAATATTGCTATCAGTCCTCTTGTGTTTGTTCCTTTAACATGTAGAATATTTTTTCTTATTTTATATGTACCTTGTAATGGATGTAATATTATAATTTAGGTTGCATAACATCATACAATAACGGAACAGTTAGTTGTCATGTTGTCACTAGACATTTCGATATTCAATGTGTTTTTGTTTCTTACATTGTTGGTTCATCAGTTTAGATGAAATATGATTTACATGTACAATGAATCAATGATCACCTATTCGGTCTTCTTTTTTTTTTGACATCATACCTATTTGGTCTATGAGGCAATTATTAATATATCATATACAGAGGTGTCCAGCAAGCACATCATTTGACAAATATATGACATCTTCCAGGAGTTATTTGCTCGGCGAAAAAGCAACTATGAAATCCTAAAAGTAGAAAATATGTAATTAAGAAATAAGATTATGATAATATGGTTGTCTTTTAAAAATCACGTAGCTATAACATTATAAAATCAAGAGTTATACACGGATGTGTTTAATAAGAAGCTCGATTATTGACTTGCTATAGCATTTTTTTTTCATTTTTTTTCATTTTTTTCATTTTTTTTCATTGGTACAGCACTTGTGTTTTACTATATATCAAGGTTCTATTATGGAGAGGTCTTATCGGCCAAGAATTAATTGGGTACGCCACTGTTAACATTATTTAGATAGTATACATATATGACTCAAGAATACATTAAACCTTAGTTATAAAAAAATATAGTGAACCAGCTAATATAATACCAACTGTTTCTGTTTGTCCAAAAAAGATTAACAATACAAATTGTAGTTTATATCGTTTATGGAGCTGTGGATGATATCCAATTATTTCACAGCTATATCAGTCTAATAGTAATACTTCATTGGTCTTCTTTTTTTGGTCAACTTACTACATTGGTCTTCTTTTTCCATTTTTTTTGTCAAAGACTGCACTGATCTTTATGCTTATTTCTCACAAAGACAACAAACGTGTATACAAATATTTTATATAAACAACAATTAAAATCCATATGGTACATGATCCTAGCTAAAATATTTATCCGAGATTCCACGTGTTTCGCTATGATTAGGAAATTGTCCAACATAGTTACCTATTATTATGTAGTTAATTAGATATTGCATTTTCATTTGGTCCAAAATACTACTAGTAATTATAAAAGTAGCAGTCCAAAAGATGATAACAGGTGACTGGTGAGTATAAAATGTACGTACGCGTTGTAAAAACCTGGCATCTTTTGTCCATACTTTATGTTCACATCAAGAGAAAGAAGAATTGAGGGACCTGGGTGACGTGTCATGATATTGACATCTGAAAGATCCTTTCAAAATGAGATGATGTCCAGTGGGCCAGCCTTTGCTGACAAGCGACATCTCACCTATTATTGGCCCAGGTCTTCTTTGTTATCCTCCATAAAAGACTCAAAATAAATTTGTATTTAGTTAATGGAATTATAGAAATTATACTTGTAATTGTTGTTATAATTTAAAGAAATCATATCAATGAATTGAGCACAAACTCGAGTTAAGGAAGACTCATTCAGAAAAACTCTAATCAAAATGAATTAATATTATTTTTAGTTAAAAAAAAGTTACGGCTTTAAAGTTGAGATACATTTTAATATTTTTGTCCAATACTCCTAAGAAATAATATCACACATTATGAGATCACATTGTATTCGTTAACTTTTATTAGTTTAAACTCTATAACTAGTCGTTTGTAATTAATATATTATATATCATTTTTGTGAAAATAAATTTGGGATTATGTGAGAAATTCCCTCAAAACAAAAATTGGGATTATGTGATGTCCAATCGTTTTGATTTTATTTTATTTATCTAAATAAATAAATTATTGTTTTATCTTGACAAAGAACAAACAATAAATAATGGTGGAAACAAATGAATCCCACATTTACTAATAATAGTATTTATTTTATAGAACTATTGAGTGAACAAGACATGTCCCTATTAGTCCACGTGAAGTAATCCGACGTTCTGTTTTACTGAATAAGAGGTGAAAATTATCGGACGTGTCATGCAGCTTTGGACAATCCAACGATGTGTACACGGAGTCTGGATTGTGTTCCCGTGTGGACAATCCCACCAATATTTTCTTACAACAAGACACTAAAACTTTCACATCTTATCGCCATTCATCTTGTGAGAAATGTATTAAAGCACCGGTTTATTCGCTTTTCTCAACCAAAGAGAAGCGGTTAATTCGCGTTACTACACTGAAATGCATTTTAACCTTGGTTTAGTGTTAGGTCCTGTTCGTTTGTACATCTGAAAGATGCATCCAGATGATCCATCCAGATGCCTTATCCAGATGGAGCATCTGGATGTTGTTCGTTTCTCTATTTCGTCTATACATCTAGATGAATCATCTGAATGTAACTATGTTCGTTTGTTTGTTTTTAACTTGCATCTGCATCCAAATGAATTTGTTAATAAAATGAATAAAA